GAAAAATTGATGCAGTTTTGATTCTACTCATGTATTATAGTTTTGTTTGAAGCTTAACGGTTGTTTTTTGTTTCATTTAGGAAGTTTCAACGGAATTCAGTTTTCCAGTGAGAGAAAACTGAAGGCAATTAGGAAATGAGCAACCTTTTTCTTGGTTGACGACAGAATGAACGCATTGGATGTGCCTTCTTTGCTACCATACGAATCATCAACTGATGCCGTATTCTGAACGGGAATAACGTTCGTCTGGGATGGTGTCTTCATTTGTGATTTAATTTAGTCTGTGCGATGATATTCTCCTGTAGATTTGTGGGGATTTTCATAGGCACAATGCGTCGAATGGTCTGAAAAATAAACGCTAAGCGAACAAAATTCAATGTTTCGACGCATTCGAGGAAGGATTGCACGTGAGATATATGCGAAGCGAGTTTTTGTTGAGCGGAATTATCTATCAAAGCATTGAAAGATTGAGAATTACAATGTTTTGACCACGGGATGCCTCAAGAAGGTAGGTTTTCATCAGATACACTCGGAGCAGCATGTCAACGGGATCAGATGCATGTGCATGTTCAATGTCGGTGTTATCCACAAGCATCTTTTAATTGAACTTTTAATTGAACATCACAGTCACGACTGAATCTTTCTTATGAGATTTTAATTTTGCCATTTCGATCGGTGTAATGAAAGGTATACACACACTTCGCCAAATACGAACGGAGTGATATTTCGCCAAGTGACGGAAGTTGGATTTCCATTTGATATATGTTCAGAAATGTGAATTTCTTCCCTATTCAATGGAAATAAATCCGGACAATTAATACATCATTTTGTAGCGCAGATCCATAAAAACAAAACTTAATTGATAGATTAGCTAGTAATCTAGTGAGATTAGCTAGTGAGACAAAAGAAGTGTTCGCAATGGTCGTCCACAAAGGTGTACATACACGAACTGTCACTCCGCTGGTATTTGGCGAACTGTCAGCTTACCAAAAAAACATGAACTACATTGGTGAGTGTTCGCTAATAATAATCTTTAACATGTCTAATATTGATGAATACAGTCATTTTTTTAAAATTTTTGTGGTAAATTCGGACAATGTCGATTCGACGCAATCTGAGAAAAGGTCTACAACAACTTGCTTCGTGACAAGTGCCACTCGGATAATTTGAGCGTGCCACGATGTCGATTCGATCCAATCCGACAATTGAGTAACATCGTGCTTTTTGTCCGAGTTAGACTTGTCCTAGATGCAGTTGTCACGAGAATGGGTGAAGGTTAGAGTCTGAAGCATAATTCAAGTACCTACTTGAAGCGGAGGATTAATGTTGGATAGAATCTAATGCAACTTTTGAAGTCGGAAGCGTTTTGGCCAGGTTTCGTTACTGTTAGGTGAAGATGGGACTCACTTGTGGTTTTGTTGTGGTTTGTTGTGGTTTCGTTCGCAGTACGATATATCGTCGAACTATTTCCAGTTTTTAACGTGCCAAATGCTCATCCCATCAGTTTGTTCGCCTTTTATCACACTCATCAAGCAACTTCTGAAATCCACTTTCATCGCTTTTTGTTGCCGTCATCGAGTGTGCATTTCGTTTTCCTTAATGGATAAACACTCGCGTTGAGGTGGCAGCCCCAGTGGTTGACGAATAAAACAGCTAGTTATCTTAAAGAAACGTCGTCGACATTTTCAGATATCAAAGGGATGGTGTTTTGCCGACGTGCACTACGTCGTGCATTACGATGTGGCAACAGTCGATCATCTGTATTCGTCGATATTGTCTTAATTATAATTCTAATTATCGCATGTTCGGTGGTTGCATCACATCTGAATACATCCAACATCCAAACACAAGTGCACGCATCTGCCGTTCGTTTACTTCTGTTTACGGCTTTAAGGATAATGATCGATCAAAACAGTCACCTCTGCGCATCGTGAAATCTGTTTTCTAAAAAAATCCGTATTCCTTTTACGCCATCATCAGGGAAGGATTAGGAGAGCTAAAAGCGCCTCCCTCTGCTTTTGTAACTGTCGGATCGATATTGTCTTAATCNGGATTAGGAGAGCTAAAAGCGCCTCTGCTTTTGTAACTGTCGGATCGATATTGTCTTAATCGATTGATTGACTTGTTTAGTCATTTTAATCAACAATTATTTTTGTCGTGCGCATAATAAAAGGGCGAACTGTTGAGAAATTATTCACTATTACAACAACACATTTCAATTTCCATAAATAGACAATTTCTCAGAAGAAGTAATTTATTCCTTCCTAATCCGTTATGTAAACCACTCAATGCGTTTTCAGGAGAATGACATTCAAAATGATGTATTACCAAAACCAAATATGTTAAAACAAATAATCGTTGATAATATTGCCGAAAATGACATTCAACGAGAGAAGCAACAAATAGCAAAGGTGTTAAAAGATGAACATTTCATGTTTGCCGTCTCAGTTACTCCTTTGAAATAAATAACTCTTTAATCATTTTGATAAGAATGATTGGTATTTATATGATGATGAACAATATTTGTTTTAATTTCTCATCTCGTTTATAATTATTCCCTGTTTCGACCCTCTTTTCATTTCTTTGTTCAGTTACATAATTCGAACTTATTTTCTCGTTTTATCTGTAATGTTTTTCGTTCAGATTTCTAACGATCAATCGGCAGTTCCTCAACGAAAANCCGTGTTTCTTGGTTAAATTATTGGTTCAATTTGAGAATAATCTTGATTGAGTGCCTGTGAAAGAATTCTTTGTGTGTGTCAAGATGCAGATTCACTTATAAATGAGATATTGATTTATTGTCGCAGCAGATATATTTATAATATAATTGTTAAATCTAGGATGAATATGCATTCAAGGAAAGAAATTGATGGTGTCAAATATCCTCTGTTGAATTCAGTTGGGAATTTTATACCAATCAGACGAATCGTTCACATTGATCTCAAAGGGGGTGCTTTAAAGGTATTCTCTAGAATAGTCTTCTTCTTATTTTCATCGTAGTCAGGATGCTAGTTTGTAATAATACTATGGGGATTTATTTCCATTTGTAATCGTGTTCATTATCGTCACAATTTAATACACATTTATAATCATTATTAAGATTGATTTGGTTTTAGGTGGATTATTTTGAAAAGGTATTCGAAGTGCTGAAAGCACTGGGCGCAACTGGAGTGCTTATTGAATGGGAGGATATGTTCCCTTTTGAAGGTCGTCTTAAATCAGCAGTGAATGGTGACGCTTATTCTATGCAACAGGTTTGTTGATTGCACAACAGATGATTATGTGAATATGCATTCAATTATATTGAATATAACAGTTTTCGGTGATCACCGAACAGGGTATTTCCGGTCTTGAGCCAGTGGTCACTTACCCAACTTTACCTCTGTGGAGCGATTGTGTTCTGATTTACAACCGAATAATGATAGTCGTGTTATTTACATGAAATTGTGATTGTTTTGTTAGGTACATCGCATATTAAGAGGAGCACAAAAATATGGATTGGATGTGATACCATTGATTCAAACGTTTGGACATTTAGAATGGATTCTGAAATT